CCCAGACTGAGGCACGAACCCGTGTCCCCTGCATCGGCAGGCAGACTCTCAACTACTGCGCCACCAGGGAAGCCCTCAATTTTTATCATTTGTATAATTTTTGTTTATCTAGAATATTCTTTTCAACTAGGTATTCAAATTTATTATCTGTTTTATTAATCTTTTAGAATACTGTCCATCATGTCTCATCAACATTCTTTATATTTTTCATTTATTCATTTTAGCTCTAAGAGATTCTTTTTTAAAATTTAATTAATTAATTTTTGGCTGTGTTGGATCTTGATTGCTGTGCGCGGGAGCTACTCTTCGTTGTGGTGCGTGGGCTTCTCATTGTGGTGGCTTCTCTTGTGGAGCACGGGCTCTAGGTGAGCAGGCTTCCGTAGTTGTGGCACACCGGCTCAGTAGTTGTGGCGCATGGGCTCAGTTGCTCCGCGGCACATGGGATCTTCCCAGACCAGGGGTTGAACCCGTGTTCCCTATGTTGGCAGACAGATTCGTAACCACTCTGCCACCAGGGAAGTCCCTCTAAGAGATTCTTGATATCACAAGCAGAAAGGATCTTTCTGAACGTCAAATCTTACCATGTCTTTCTCTTGTTAAAGCCTTACAGCAATTTAGGCCATCGTCTATATGATAACCTCTAGTTATGTTTACAGGTGTACCACCTGCCATCTGCACCGCAGCTCTGCTAAGCCATTTGTCTCCTAAGCACTCTGTGGTCTCATCCTCACTTGCATCTACTGCTCTCTCTCCCTGCAATGCCCTCCGTATCTGTTCTCCCACTACATCATGAGATCCTGATGGGCTATGCTGTGCATCTTTTTATTCCCGATGATTCTCACATTTTAATCATTTAGGAATGCTGAATACATTTTCTAAATAGAAAACTTTATTTTTCCTATTCAGTTTAGTTTTCTTGCGTGGTGAAATATACATAACATAAGATGGCCCATTTTAACCATTTTTAAGTATACAATTCAGTGGCATTAGGTAGATTCACATTGTTGTGCAACCATCGCCAGTATCCATCTCCAAATCTTTTCATCATCCAAAACTGAAACTCTGAACCCACTAAAAAATAACTCCCCACGACACTTCCCCTTAGCCCCTGGTTACCTCTGTTCTATTCTTTTGTCTTTATGAATTTGACTACCTCATTTGAGTGGAATCATACAGTGTTTGTCCTTTTGTGTCTGGCTTCTTTCACTTAGCATAAGCTCTTTGGGGTTTATCCATGTTGTGGCGTGGATCAGAATTTCGTTCCTTTTTAATCTGAATAATAATACCCCACTGTATATATAGACCACAGTTTGTTTATCCATTCATCTGTCAGTGAACATTTGAGTTGTTTTTACCTTTTGGCTCTTGTGATTAATGCTCTCCCGAATATCGGTGTACAGATACCTGTTCAAGTCTCTGCTTTCAATTCCTTTGGGTATTTACCTGGAAGTGGAATTGCTGGATTGTATGGTAATTCTGTGTTTAACTTTTAAAAGGTTTTCCACAGCAGCTGCAGTATTTTACGTTCCCACCAGCAATTACACAAGGGTTCTAGTTTCTCCACATCCTTGCCAGTGCTTGTTATTTTCTGTAATTTTTTATAATAGCGATCCTAATGAGTGTGGGTAGTATTTCATTGTGGTTTTGATTTGCAGTTTCCGAATGATTATTAATGTTAAGCATCTTTTCATGTGCTTTCTGGCCATTTATAGATCTTTGGAGAATTGTCTATTGCCCATTTTTAAATTGGGTTAAATTTCCAAGCTGAAACAAATACCAAAATGTTGAATAATTTATAGATGTGTTTGACGACTCACTGTTGATAAAATTTGAGAAATCACGGAGAATGTGAGAAGACACAGAAAGCAGAAAAATAAGCAAATGTTTTTTCTAAAAGTGGAGAAAAATCTTCAGAACACAATAGTAGCTAGCTTTTCCTAGTGATTATAGTAGGAAATAGGTGGTTTGTGAACATGTAAGGAAGAAGTAATTACTAGACCCAAAAATAGCCACGTAATCCTAACTGCCCTTCTGCTGGGGTTATTAGTGCCTATTTATATAGATATATTATGGTTGTTTATGATCTGGAATTATTGCTAAATTCAGTGGATTCCTAGCTCGAAGTACATTTAACTCTAAAGAATATTTATTTTGAGTAGCACATTGAAGAGTTTATCTTTATTTGGACTTAATCTGTTCACAACCAATGTATATTATTTACAGTTGTCACAAACCTTAGAACTTAAGAATATGTCAGAGGATTGAATTATGGGACAAAACCTAGTAAGTGAAATATTGCAAGGGTAAATTTAAAGCCTTCCAGTTAGATAAAGAGAGAATGGCTTCCATGAAGACAGGGTGTGGGAGTCCTGACCTGCAACCTCCCCATATAAGAAGCAGGGATTTCAGTTGACTGCAGGCTCCACTGGGAGTCCTTACAGTCATCCAGCTGCTAATAAAGCTCATGCTGCCTTTAAATGCCTAAAGGAAAAGGTCCAAAGAGTGGAAGATGTTAACTCTACTGTATTTTCTATTAATCACACTTTGTTTCTTGTTTCCATGGTAGCTTTGTGCAAATATGTGTTCTTTGTATTTTACAAGTATGACAAATTAAATAATTAGACTGATAATATTCAGTGAGTCAGCAAATATTAATAGAGCATCTATTTTATCTGAGTCACAAGATAGTTACTGCTACTTTACAGGGGGGAAAAATATATATATATATATGGATATATATATTCTCTCCCCTACTGTGAGAGACGAGTCATATATACAAATGATTATATACCAGGTGGAGTGGGATGCCTGCCCCAAAGTGCTATGTGGCTGTTCAAAAACAACAAATTCCAAGAAGCCTCATGAAGAATGGATCTTAAAGAAGTTCAACAAATGGAGAGACTATTTTAGGTATAAAAGAGCCATGTGCAGATTTGCAAAAGCTTGAAGCACAGGGCATGGCTCAGTCAATAGCAGATTGTTCAGAATGACAAGTATACATAATAAATCAGGGATGGCATTCTGGGGCCTGTGGTGACAATTTTATGATGGCACTCAGAGATTTAGAATGTACACTGACGACGTTAGGCAATTGGGAACGATAAAAAAATTTTTAATTGGATGTTGAGATCTTTGCTTTAAAGAAATGTGAGGAAATGAGGCTTAGAAAAGTTAATTGCTCAAGGTCCCAGCAGAAGTAGGATCAAACCCTGGTGGCCCCAGCCCTGAAGCCAATGCTGTCATCCATCACTCAGCCACACTGATAGAGTGGCACTAGCTGAAGGTGGAGGGACAGGAAGGGTTCCATGTTCTCATGGTGCTCCCGGTCCTGTAAGTGATAGACACGCCCTTCGTAGTTTTGACTAATCTGTTGGAAGCTAACCATATGACAGATTTCTTCTGTGTTGTTCCTTTTGCACATTATATAAAACCTATGTCTTTGCACAGTTTTTACTAACAGCACGGTTCCTCTTCCCATCAGTTCTTTGGGACCAAGTGCTCTGAAGACAGTAGGGAACGCAGCATCGGTGAAACGGAAGGAATCTTCCCAGAGCTCAGCTCAGTCAAAAGAAAAGAAGAAGAAGAAATCTGCACTCGATGAAATCATGCAGGTGCGCTTTATGAAGTGCTTGTCAACTCTAGCTTTTAGGGGAATGATGTGATTCCAACCAAGGAAAGTTAAATAGTTTCACCAATTATGAGATTAATATAAAGTGAGAAAAATGTGCTCATACCAGGTTAGGAAAAAAGAGCCTAGATGTAGTTCCATCTGAATGGAGCTGGAACCTCCTTAGATAGGTTTATTTTCTTGCCTCAAGTGCTGTCTTCAAAACACTCCATGAAATTATGGTCAATAGAGTTAGTTTAGGAGAACCTCAGTGGTAATTGAAGCCAGAAATGAAAGCTCTGCTCACCTTTGGTGGCTTCGTGAAATTGGCATCCTCCATGGATGCCCCCACCAACCTGGGCTCTCCTGTTGCCTCTGACTTCCACTTACTACCTCCTACCCGGGAGAGAAAGCTCTGACATTTTTTTTTTTTTTTTTTGTGGTACGTGGGCCTCTCACTGTTGTGGCCTCTCCTGCTGCGGAGCACAGGCTCCAGACGCGCAGGCCCAGCGGCCATGGCTCACGGACCCAGCCGCTCCGCGGCATGTGGGATCCTCCTGGACCGGGGCACGAACCCGTGTCCCCTGCATCGGCAGGCGGACTCTCAACCACTGTGCCACCAGGGAAGCCCTCTGACATATTTTTAATGTGATTTAACCTGATGGCCAAGTTTATATGATGAATCAGTGAAAACCTGTGATTATCTGGATCTAGGGCTATACTTTTGCTCTAAATTTACCTGAAATTCTAGAGCCGTTCTGCAGAAGGTTCTTAATATATTCCTAAATATTCCTTTCTCCCTTCCAACACATCACCTTCCCATATCAATAAATTTATGAAATAAGTAGAAAAGGCGAAGAGAAAGAATAAATGGGTACAAGAAGCTAACGTTTTCCCCTGTAACATCATTTAAGCACTGTGACCAGGGAAGCCCTCTGACATATTTTTAATGTGATTTAACCTGATGGCCAAGTTTATATGATGAATCAGTGAAAACCTGTGATTATCTGGATCTAGGGCTATACTTTTGCTCTAAATTTACCTGAAATTCTAGAGCCGTTCTGCAGAAGGTTCTTAATATATTCCTAAATATTCCTTTCTCCCTTCCAACACATCACCTTCCCATATCAATAAATTTATGAAATAAGTAGAAAAGGCGAAGAGAAAGAATAAATGGGTACAAGAAGCTAACGTTTTCCCCTGTAACATCATTTCCTCTGGTCTCCTCATCCCTTTTCTTCATTTGTGAAGGGATGGGAGTAACTGTTTGGTCTTCCCTGTTGCTGAGTCCTCACACAATGCAGGACAGTTAGAAAAGCTTAAAGTATAATATAACGTGTGTACGCTTGAGATGTAGTCATTCCATCATTCAGCAGATACTGAGTTGCTGTTACATGCTGGGCATCATGTGAGGTCCTGCATGTGTAGAGTAGGGAGAAAAACACAGTCCCTGCATGTCATGGAGCTTTCACCCTAGTGAAGGAGGCATTCCACGACCAAGTGAACCAGTGGATAAGTAATTACAAAATGCTATGTGCTGAAGAGGTCTGAGGGCAGGGAGTGGGGAGATAGCTTGTTCCCCCACTAGGGCAGGGGAGATCTCTAGTTCAGCATCCAAAGGGAAGATCCAGGTGGCTAGAGCATGGTAAGCACAAGAGTGGTGGCATTTGAAGTTGGAGAGAGAAACAGGGGCAACACCACAGAGGTCTTATAAGCCATTTTGAATTTAATTCAAAGTAAAATGGAAAGCCAGATCTACCTGCTTAGAATATAACCATGCCAAGTTTAGAATATTTTTTGTTCATATTGGAAAGTTGGAGGAATTAAGATGAGGTTTTGAATCAACCAAAGAGTGACATTGTTCAGTCCCTTTGAAAGTAGGTACTTAGGGTTAACTGAGCAGTTGAGAAAGAAAAAGGTGTGAGATACAGCCAGGTCAGCTGGTCAGCACGTTTTCCTTTTGGTCACCCTTTCATTTACTTCTCTCCTGGTTGTGTTTTTCTTCCCCTCCATTCACAGCCTTTATTATCCTTATGAAACAGGGAAGCTCCTCTTTGCCATCAAACTGTATACCCAACTATGCTGTGCTGAATTGGTCTGTAAGAGTTACGTTTTTACCCCCTGAAAACATCGCCTGTTTTCCAGCGCATGACAGTCCAGGGGAGCAAGCAGGGATAGGGCAGAGTAATGCTGGCAGGTGGTGTTGCAGTATTGACTCAGTCTCTATTGCGTTTATCTTCTTGGTCAGTTGACTTGGCTATCACTTATTTTCCTAAATCCAAGTTGCTTTTTTTTTCAATCAAAAACTAATTGCAAAAAAAGGTTTGTGTTTATCAGAGATTGCAAATTATATCGATCTTCTGTGAAGTGTGTTTTATGGTGTTCTTTTGCTAAATGGAATGTTATTTGAAATAAATTGAGGATTTTAAAGAGGTAATTTTATGAATGTCTCATGCGTCCTCCAGATTGAAGAGGAGAAGAAAAGAGCTGCCCGAACAGATTACTGGCTCCAGCCTGTACGTATCCCGCTGGGGCTTCTTACTTCTAAATGTGCTTTTAAGCGAATGATTTAAATAGCATTTGGTATAAATGGCTAAATATCTTAAATATCTGTAAATTCTATACATAGATTTATAACTTTAATGACTTGTCTTTGCATCTACTCTGTAAGTATTCGTTGTATTGTTATATTAGAGGGTTACTCATGTTCATGGACCAGTAATGTTTCTTGAGTTTAATGCCAAATTTGTGTATGGACACCTTGAATTTAAGCCTGGAATTATTTTCAATTTTTGCTATAAGAATACCCAGTTAGGTACTTTGTGGTAAAAACAGCTTTTTTTTTTTTCTTTAACATCTTTATTGGCGTATAATTGCTTTACAATGGTGTGTTAGTTTCTGCTTCATAACAAAGTGAATCAGCTATACATATACATATATCCACATATCTCTTCCCTCTTGCATCTCCCTCCCTCCCTCCCACCTTCCCTATCCCACCCCTCTAGGTCGTCACAAAGCACCGAGCTGATCTCCCTGTGCTATGCGGCTGCTTCCCACTAGCTATCGATTTTACATTTGGTACTGTATATATGTCCATGACACTCTCTCATTTTGTCCCAGCTTACCCTTCCCCCTCCCCATGTCCCCAAGTCCATTCTCTAGTAGGTCTGTGTCTTTATTGCCATCCTGCCCATAGGTTCTTCATAACCATTTTTTTTTTAGATTCCATATATATGTGTTAGCATATGGTATTTATTTTTCTCTTTCTGACTTACTCCACTCTGTATGACAGACTCTAGGTCCATCCACCTCACTACAAATAACTCAATTTCGTTTCTTTTTATGGCTGAGTAATATTCCATTGTATATACATGCCACATCTTCTTTATCCATTCTTCTGTTGATAGATACTTAGGTTGCTTCCATGTCCTGGCTATTGTAAATAGAGCTGCAATGAACATTGTGGTACATGACTCTTTTTGAATTATGGCTTTCTCAGGGTGTATGCCCAGTAGTGGGATTGCTGGGTCATGTGGTAGTTCTACTTTTAGTTTTTTTAAGGAACCTCCATGCTGTTCTCCATAGTGGCTGTATCAATTTACATTCCCACCAACAGTGTAGGAGGGTTCCCTTTTCTAAGTGTATAAGTTCAAGGAAAGATTTTTTTTTTAATTGCTTTTTATTATTGCTTCTTCTGTCTTTTTTCGTTTTTTCTTAATCTAATTTACTAAAGTCTTAAAAAAATTTTTTTTTATTGAAGGAAGGATTCTTTAAATTCTGTAGTGCTTTCCAGTTTTCAAAAGTTTCACACACATGATTTCATGTAAGCCTGTAATAACTTATTTTCCCTCATCCCTTTATTGCCCCTCTCCACTTCCCTCTCCCCACTGGTAACCACTAATTTGTTCTCTATATCTGTGAGTCTGCTTCTTTTTTGTTTTATTCACTAGTTTGTTGTATTTTTTAGATTCCACATATAAATGATGTCATAGTTTTTATCTTTCTCTGACTTATTTCACTTTATTTCTTGTTCTTTTAAGATAACAATTGCATAATAATTTTTAAACATTTCAGTACTTTAAATATTTTTTATTTATTGCTGCTCGGTTTTGAACTTACTGGAATATGAAGTTTTCATAAAACCTTCAGGGTATCTTAGTTATCCTTAAGGAAGCTGGCTTGATCAATAACATGAGAGTGAAAAGTAATTATTTGGGTAATTTCTGATTTGAAAATTTCTGATTTATTATTATTATTAATAATGATCTTGAATATCAAAAAGCATAAAGTTCTAATTTAAATCTTCATAGTTATTCCCTCACTAGCTTAAAAATAATTTTGTTTCCATGTCTCAGTTTATGTCCTTATACAATGGGAAACATTTGCCTGGTGATCACATGAAAGATCATGAAATAAGTTATGTAAAATGAAAATCCTTGCTGTAGTAAATAGAAAATAAGTACTCCATAAACCAGACAGAGAAAGACAAATATCATATGATATCGCTTATATGTGGAATCTAAAAAAAAAAAAGATACAAATGAGCTTCTTTACAAAACAGAAATAGACCCACTGACATGGAAAACAAACTTATGGTTACCAAAGGGGAAAGGCAGGGGGTAGGGAGGGGATAAATTAGGAGTTTGGGATTATCAGTTACACATTATTATGTATAAAACAGATAACCAACAAGGACCTACTGTATAGCACAGGGAACTATACTCAATATTTTTTAATAACCTATGAGGGAAAAGAATCTGAAAAAGAATAGATAAACATATACATATAACTGAATCACTGTGGTGTACACCTGAAACTAACACAACATTGTCAATCAATTATACTCCAATTAAAAAAAAAACTGTTAAAAAAAAAGTGCTTCATATGAATTATTTCAGTTAATTCTCATATCAGCCCTACAAGGTAATTACTGTTATTATTCCCCTTTTATAGGTGAGAAAACTGAGGTGTAGATTATTTGAGTAATTCCCCCAAGGTCCTTTAGAAAGTGGTGAGCTAGGATTTCCCTGGCAGTCAGATTCACTAGGTTGTACTCTGCCCTGATAAACTCTACTTCCTGGGATGCATCAGTCTCCCTGACTTCCGTCTCTGAGTAGAAGTCTGCGTCAAGATTAGAAAAGGAAGGACCTAGAGAGAGAGAACCATCCATGAATTATTTTGTTTGCTTTCCCTGTCGGAGTAGCTAGCATTTGATATTAATAGTTTCATATATTGTTTATGAAAGTGTAATCAAGAATTTTGCTTAGAGCAGTAGTTCTTAACCAGAGCACAATTCAAAAAAATTTAGACCATTTCTTTCCAAGATATATATGCTTCAGTACTAACCACTATCCAGTCTCCTGGGGGTGAAATGGCTATTTTCATTAACCGCCTAGGTGATTCTCATGTTTAGAATCACCTTTGTTCAGAACCATTGGTTTAAAGGAAAAAGAAAACAAACCAAAAGCAAAAAAAAAAAAAAAAAAAAAAAAAAAAAGAAAGCATTTTTAGTCCAAAAGTTCTCTTCCCATTGACAATACTTTTCTTTTTTAAGATTTTTTTTTAATGTGGACCATTTTTAAAGTCTTTATTGAACTCCTTACAATATTGCTTCTGTTTTATGCCCTGGTTTTTTGGCCACAAGGCATGTGGGATCTTACCTCCCCAACCAGGAAATTGAACCCACACTCCCTGCATTGGAAGGCGAAGTCTTTAACCACTGGACCGCCAGGGAAGTCCCTGCATTGACCAACTTTTAATAAAAATTTATTTTCAGTTTGATAATCTTCTGGTATAGTAAATTATTCAGATTTTCTTCCTAGCTCCTCTTGGAGAATGTTACGTTAAAAGTGAAGATCAGGACTTCCCTGGTGGCGCAGTGGTTGAGAGTCCACCTGCCTATGCGGGGGACACGATTTCGTGCCCCGGTCCGGGAGGATCTCATATGCCGCGGAGCGGCTGGGCCCATGAGCCATGGCCGCTGAGCCTGCGTGTCCGGAGCCTGTGCTCCGCAACGGGAGAGGCCACAATGGTGAGAGGCCCGCATCAGGGATCCAATGACTCAGTGTGTGTCTCATTTTGAAACGGGCAGTATGTGTGTTAAAATAACCAGCAGCCCACAGAGATGGATTGGAGAGCTTTAGTTTTTAAACTCAGAAGAGAAAGTTTTGACAGGTGTGCTATGAGCAAGTGTCAGTAGTATGATGAAGTAATGAATTGTGTTTAAATTATAAGTGTGTGTACCCATGAGGGCCTTTGAGAAATTTAGCCCAGAAATCAGAGAAGCTGTTGGTATTATATGGCTTCATTGAGAAAGTCTTAATAGAATACTGGCTTAAGAATAAGAACATTCAAGCCTTCTCTTAAACATATTTTTCTGCTGTTAAATATTCTCCCCCAAAGTCCTTACTAGGTTTTTGTTAATGTAATGTTTAGCCTGGCTTAGTGAAGGACTTGTGACCATCTAGTACTTCTGCTGTATCCACTTGAAGTAGCAAATACAGAATGGCTGTAGTGAATCTGGAATTAAGTCAGGTGATTTAATTTTCCTCGTCAGCCGTTAGCCAATTGAAATCAGGAAAACAATGACAAAGAAGCAAACTCAGAATGCATTAATATGAAGTAAACTCAGATTTCTCTCCCGTTGAGAACTAGATGCTCAGAAGAGCGATGCTTTTAGCTGGAGCTAGTCTGGAGGAGTCCAGTCTTATCCAAAATCCAGAGCAACATCACGAGAAAAGAGCATTGTGGAAAGTGGTGTGCTTTAGCTCAAAGCCTCCGTTTCTTGCAATTCCCAGTGAGACTCTTGCTCTCTTGAGTTTTTTTGTCAGCGGTGAACGTCAACATATAACATCCTTAGCATTTTTTCTTCCTTGAATGGAGAGAAAGAAAGAAGCTGTCTGTGAAAGACCTGGAGTAATAGAGTTGAGATTGGTGGATGAAAGTCCTAGATTTCAGAAAACCTTCACTATGGAAATCAGCCATGAGACATGCGTTTTTTCCTCTTGGTAACCAACTATGTTGAATAAAAAGAGACAGAAGGAATGAAAGATTACTAAGGAAATGTTCTGCCATCGTTGGGAAGACTTCCAACTCCAAAATGTCTTATTTAGCAAAGCAGTTAACATTTTACTATGATTTTTGGTGAAAATGTTTAAAATGAAGGATCAAAAGAGGAAAGAGAATTTATATCATTCCTTCCATCTTTATTTTTTTCTTATTTTCCAGGAAATTGTAGTGAAGATTATAACCAAAAAACTTGGAGAGAAATATCATAAGAAAAAGGGGATTGTTAAGGTAAGAACATGAAGTTATGATGGAGTTTGGGGAAGGAGCTGGTGTGTGGCTGAGTAAAGCCATTTTGATACTCCTTAAAAATCAAGTCCTAGTAACAGAAGCAGTGTGTCTAAGATTCTTGATGGTTCCATGAAAGGAAGGCTGACTTCCCAATGGTTGGAGAAATATTTCATTTCCAACCATAGTTTATACTTAACTTTGGTCGGCTTTCTCACTAGAGCAAATGATATGTATGAAATCCCATCGGCACCTCTTAAAAAAATTCAGTGAGCGCACCTTGCTAGTAAGTAAGGTACATTCCCTTTGTTAATGACGGGCAATGTAATAGTGCCCCAGAGTTCCAAGGAGGACTTCCTTGTGGTTTGCCTGAGAGACTTATCTTTTGATTGCTCTAGGATTTTAAAATTTAAAAATCAATGCTCCAGTCTTTTTCTTTCTTTTGCTTTTCCTGAGTATAGTTTCATGCTAGCACCCACCCTTGTGCATGCATAAGTTGCCCTCCTACTGTAGTTGAAATGACACAGAATTATCCCTCTCATTGTATTTCTTAAAGTCTTATTCTAAGATCACCAGCCTTTTCTTTCCAGATGAAAACCTTAACTAAGCTTTGAATTGAATTCTTTAAGAACCATTAGCCTGAGGTCATATATGGCATCTAGAAAATAAACTCCATTGATACAAGGAGTTACTCTTAAAACAAGTTACTCTTACCTTTTGGTTAGAATTTCATTGTTTACATTTATTTCTGGCCTTTGGACTTCGTGTTCACATCTCTCTTCTGTTATAAAAGTGTTGGTTTTACATGGCAGGAAGTAATTGACAATTACACAGCTGTGGTGAAGATGATTGATTCTGGAGACAAGCTGAAACTTGACCAGACTCATTTAGAAACAGTAATTCCAGCACCAGGTAAATCTTTTTGCAGACCATTTAATATACCATCGAAATAAGTGATTCCATTCTTTAAAACCTTAGTTTTTGACGTTACTTGATAGTTCTGGGTATGAGTTTCCTTTTTAGAAACATATAATTGCCAATATAACTGATCCCAGTTTGACTTGGTGAGGTGGTAGTTTACCAGTCCTCTGAGAAAGCTATTTTGTGGCATAAATAAATTTTCCCTTTCTAGAATCTTTGTTTTCTTTCCAGAAGCAAATCACAGACATATCTGGATAAAATCATATTAGGATTATTATTAATATATTTGTTTAGCTATTTGAGATGGTAAAGTAAAAGTCAGTATTATTTTGCATTTTCTTTTCCTTAATTGTCTTACACATATCTAGTATAAATGCTTCTGTAGTTAGGTTGTTTGCCTCTGACCCAGACTCGTCATGGTGGTATCGTTGCTGGCACAGTGATAATGTTAGTCTCTAAAACTTCTGTTTATCAGATCCTATATTCTTTCTCCATAAAATAAAATTCATTTTATGGATTAGAAATTGTGGACTTTTTTTTCAGCTTCAGTAAGATGTAATTAACATAAACTGCATCTGTATAAAGTATACAATTTGATGTTTTCAACACATGCATACTCCCGTGAAAACCATCCTTACAATCAAGTTAGCACATGTGTCCATCACCCCCCAAAGTTTCCTCCGTTTCCTTTATAATCCTTCGCTCCCTGCTCTGTCTCCCCTGTCCCCCACGCAACCATCAATCTGCCTTCTGTGACTATAGATTAGCTTATATTTTTCTACAGTTTTATATAAATAAAATCATACCACGTGTCCTGTGTTTCTGTCTGGCTTCTTTCACTAAGTACATCATTTTGGATTCATTCAGGTTGTTGTGTGCATCTATACTTTATTCCTTTTTATTGCCAAGTATTTCATTATGTGGATGTGCCAGTTTCTTTATCCAGTCACCTACTGATGGACATTGGGGTTGTTTACAGCTCTTGGCCATTACAAACAAAACTGCTATATGAGCATTCACGTACAGATCTTTGTATGGATATATGATTTCTGTTGAGAAAATTCTTAGAGATAGAATGGCTCAACCAAACAGCAGGCATATATTTACGCTTTTATGAAACTAGCAACCATCTTATGATCTTAAAAAGAGAGAAATTAAAAGCAAGCTGAATTTTTTCTGATTACTTCTGGGCTCTGGGCATCTCCTCCAAGAACCTTATACTCCTTGGTATAAAATTAAAACATCCCTTGACAAATAAGTAGAAAAAATGAGGAGTCTTGTAATGTTACACTAATCAAAGTATCTACAAACTGTACTGTAGAATCATACAGATATTAAATGATTAAGAACATCTAAGAGAAGAGTTTTGTTTTCTACTATGTTGATTCAGTGTAATTGCATTTGGCTGTAAGAAGGTAGAAGAAAGTGGCCATTTTCTTTGTATTAAGTGTTAACGCTTTTCTGTTACAGGAAAAAGAATTCTTGTTTTAAATGGAGGCTACAGAGGAAATGAAGGTACCCTAGAATCCATCAATGAGAAGACTTTTTCAGCTACTATAGTCATTGAAACCGTAAGTATGGTTTACACAAAGACGGAGATTTCAAAATACTTTTAAAATGTGCTATGGTTTTTTTCATTGGATTGGTGTTTTAAGTTTGGGTTTTCTGTTTGCCTTCTCTCCTATTTGGAAATCTATAAGCTTATTTTCTCTAATGACTGACATTACTAAAGCATTTTATTTTCTGATTACAAAAGAAATTCCTTATGTGTCTTAATCTGTTCAGGCTGCTATAACAAAATACCATAGACTGGGGTGGCTTTAGAAACAACAGAAATCTATTTCTCACGTTTGTGGAGGCTGGAAGTCCAAGATCAAGGCACAGGCAGATTCGATGTCTGCTGAAGGCCTGTTTCCTGGTTAATGTGTCCTCACATGGTGGGAGGGGAAAGGGAGCTCTCTGGGATCCCTTTTTAAGGGCACTAATGCATTCTCAAGGCCTCTGCCCTCATGACCTAATCACTTCCCAAAGACCCCACCTCCTAATACCATCACATTTTTAACGTATTGAATGAATTTTGACAGGGACACATTCAGTCTCTAGCAGCACTCTTGGATAAAAGCTGAAAAATACAATGGAATATAAATAATTTTTAAAATTGCCCGTAAACCTCCAGGCAAATGATAACCTCCATTAATATTTTGGTCTGTTTTTTTCAGTCTTTCTGTTTTATAACATTGTATATATTACACATAGTTTTGTATCCCAGTTTTTTTCCCCCACATCTAACATAAAACTCAATCTGCCGTAGTGTGATTAGTGGGGAATATATAGTCAGAGTTAATGGGGGAAAAGCCACAGAGATCAATAATATTTTTTAATGTCCTTCTTTCTTTCATAAAGGATTTAAGGTAGAAGAGATCAATAAATAGATTTTAAGAAATCTGACATTTAAGTAAAATTGTTCGTTGACTTAGAACTGATGGTCCACTGGCAGGTCTGCACATGAGGCTGAGTGAGACCTGAGCTGTCTTCAGAAGGAAGGGTCTGAAACATGTTTTTTCCTAACTGCCTAATTCTTTTTAGATCCCTGGGCTACCGCACCGTGTATCTTTATCTCTAAACAAGAAGCTTTTTCATCTCCACTACAAGAAGTTTTAGTGTTTGGGGGAATAATCAACTTCCTGAAGAGTTTGATGAAAGTTTTGGGCTCTCTGCAAGAAACTGCACATAAACTGCCAAATTTTATGTGTTCCCTTTAAGGAGTTCTTAGGTCCCCTGAGCCCACCTATGAACTGGTTTGAGAATATGTGTCTCAGGAAAGCTTTCTAGAAAAACCATTTAGGTTCCTATTTGAAAGAAATCACATTTCAGTAAATTAAGCATTTTTTCCCTGTCCTTGAAAATACTAACCTAATCACCAATGAACATAAACTCTAAGGGAAAAAAAGGAACAGGGAATGTCACCTGTCAGTAGGGAATTTATTAATCTGACTACGTGAACATATTGAAGTTCTTTTTTAAATCAGTTTTTGTTTTCTGATTCAATCAGCATAAGATCGTGGAAACGCTTGTATTTCCTTGGCAGGTTGAATCTCCTCTACTTTCTAGTTTCCTAATACTGTCCAACTTAGATCCCGCTTCACGTTTTCATCGAAGGGAAACAGAACGACTCAGTACTGTTGAGGATATTCTAGGTTCCATCCACACCTTTGGTTTCCAGTCTGTATGATTTTCGAGAGCTGCTTTCTTCCCGGCCTTGCTGTGAACCCACAGCTCCATCTTGCCCTCTAATGCTTTCATCGCTCTCAGAGCCGGACCGAGATAGAACCTCGGAGGTGATCCTCAGGGAAAGCCTTTCTGGTTGATTGTGAAGCAGCGTGTACTCTTGGGAGAGGAAACCCACATGGAAATTTTTTGGTTTTTTCCTTCTTCTTTTGCAGCCTGCCTCCATTAAAAATATCTGTGCTTGTTTGTGCATGTCGGTCAGCTTGTCTCTACGTCTGCATGTTTTCTCCAAGTCAATGCCCTGAAAAACATGAACTTTTCGAGTGGTTTCTCCTATTTTTATTATTTCTGGCATCTTAAATTTTAGTATCAGTATCATAAGATTTGAAATTTACACATTTATTAAGCAGATTTTTAAAATAGCTCACAAATTGTTCAAAACCAGCCCCAACTTTTTAGATACTTGCCTGGTTAACCCAGGTCTGGCCCCCTTCTTTATCCCTTGCTTGGCCTTCTTATCACAGAAGTGTGATTGACCTTCGACCTTTAAACCTGATGATGTCAAGCTGGGTCATGCTTTATCTGGGAACTTATTTCCTTTATATGTAATCCTTATAGTACATTAAAAGAAAGACATTTTAAAAGCATTTTTTATTTTTATTTATTTATTTTTATTTATTTATTTTTTTTTTTTGTGGTACGCGGGCCTCTCACTGTTGTGGCCTCTCCCGTTGCGGAGCACAGGCTCCAGACGCGCAGGCTCAGCGGCCATGGCTCATGGGCCCAGCCGCTCCGCGGCATGTGGGATCCTCCCAGACCGGGGCTCGAGCCCGTGTCCCCTGCATCGGCAGGCGGACTCTCAACCACTGCGCCACCAGGGAAGCCCTAAAAGCATTTTTTAAAGGAAGGTAAAATATGTTAAAATCTCAGCCCAGGGTTAGAGTCATCATCATCATTTTATATTTTGCAGTGGAGAGGACCAACTTTTAAATTTTAATGAAAGATTTAATAATAAGAGTTAAGAATTATTGAGCTCTGGCTTCCCTGGTGGCGCAGTGGTTGAGAGTCCGCCTGCCAACGCAGGGGACACGGGTTCGTGCCCCGGTCCGGGAGGATCCCACATGCCGCGGAGCGGCTGGGCCCGTGAGCCATGGCCGCTGAGCCTGCGCATCCGGAGCCTATGCTCCGCAACGGGAGAGGCCACAACAGTGAGAGGCCCACGTACCGCAAGAAAAAAAAAAAAAGAATTATTGAGCTCATATGCATATTATGTTCCAGATGTTATTCTGAGCACTTTATACGTGCTAACTCATTTATATTTCTCAACAAGCCAGTAATGAAGGGTGCTGTTACTGTTCCCCACTAGGGGATAATGGGGCACTGAGGGGTTATGTCACCTGCTGAGAGTGGGGTTTGAACTTGGGCAGTCTGGGTCCAGAGCCCATATTCTTAGCCTCTGTGTTCCCAGGTTGTATCAGCTTTTATGACAGGTATCATCTTTCATTAATCCAGTTTTCTTTCCCCTTTCCCTTTTTGTTGGATGTGAAGGGAACAAGAAAATATATTTCAAGTTAGACTCATTTTCTGTAATAAGACCAGCCTGTCACAGCTAAACTAGACAAATATGTTTGAGTATGAGGATTTGTATTGCTTAAAATAATATTTGTTATTTAAAAAAAAAACCCAACTGATAATGGCACAAACATGATAGACATTAACTTCTCATTTTGAAATCCAGAACAGGTCTTCTGAATCAGGGAATGGCTCTTTTCTTAGGGGTGATTTGTGAGCCCAGGGTCCTTCTGACTTGTGGCTCTACCACCTTCAACCGGGGTTTTGACAGCTGCCGTGTCCGTGTGCTTCAGGCAGGCGGCGGGGAGCATGACGGGTTGCCCGTGGAGGGGAGCATGGCCTGGGCCTGGAAGTGGCCCACATCACTTCTGTTCCCTTCCTTGGGCCGGAGCTCCATCTCATGGCATACCTGACCACAGGAGGAGCCAGGAAGTGTGACTTTCTCCAGGAAGCAGAGGAGATACTGACCAGCTAGCCAGTCTCTGCCACAGGGTCTAGAGATAACACATGCCATAGCACTGAAGAAAATATGGCCAGTTCTTGATGAGGATGCCGTAGAATACTTTAGAATACTTTTAAAATTCACAGATGTGTAGAACTGTTAGGTACCTTAGTGATATCTTAGGGATGTGAAAAAGGCAAATTTGGATCCAGAAGTGTGTGTCCTTTTCTTGTCTTGTAAGTACATGTGTGTTCTTAACCTCTTCTTCAATTATTTTAATTTGTAGGGCCCTTTAAAAGGACGCAGAGTTGAAGGAATTCAATACGAAGACATTTCTAAACTTGCCTGAGTTTGATAACTTGTTAACAGCACATTAAAATCTTAAAGCATCAAATTGGTGTTCACAAAGGCATTACAAGACTCTACTGTGTTAGGGTGTTTCTTTTGTATAAAACAAATGGATTTATTTAAATGTTACTGTATAGTTGTTTAGCTAAACTTACAGAAAAATCTAGTTATGTCTCATGAGGTATCAAAATTATGTAATTTTGTCTTTGTTATTTTTATTTCCTTTGTAATATTTCCTTGATGATTTTTTATCTTCATTAAAAGAACATTATTGTAAAGTGTTTTATATAGGACAATTTAGAATCATATAAGAGGAAATCCTTCATATACTCTAAATTTCTATTTTCATCAGTAAAGTAGTAAAGTTGAACTGTAAATATAATTACGTTTTAAAGAGTCAAACTATAAATAGAATAGCAGCTTTATTGAGATATAATTCACACACACCGTACAATTTCACCCATTTAAAGTGGACATTTCAGTGGTATTTAGAATATTTACAGAGTTGTGCAAGCACCACCACTATCTAATTTGAAACATTTTCATCACCCCCGAAAGTAACCCTGTATCCATAGTCACTCCTAACTCCCCCTCTCTCCCCAGCCCCTGGCAACTACTAATCTACTTTCCATCTCTGTGTATTTGCGTGTTTTGGACATTTCATATAAATGGAATCATACGATATGCGGTCTTTTATGACCAGCTTCTTTCACACAGCATAATGTTTTCAAGGGTTATCCACGTTGTAGCACGGATCACTGTCTCATTCCTCTTCATTGAACAATTATCCATCATATGGGTATACCGCATTTTAAAAAAACTATTCATCAGTTGCTGGATTTGGGCTGTTTCCGCTTTGAGGCAATTATGAATAATGCTGCTGTGAACATTCGTGTACAAGATTTTGTGTGAACGTACGTTTTCAGATCCTAGGATTGGAGTCAGTTATACTGTAACTCACTCATGTTATACCATGTTTAACATTTGAAGAGCTGCCAGGCCGTGTTCCAAAGTGGCTACACCATTTTACAATCCCACCAGCAATGGTGAGCTATCCATTTTTAAATAAGTAGGGCAGCATATTATGAAGGGATACAAAAGACAGGAAACCCACCTCACAGTTGCTTTTGGGAAAAAAAAAAAAAAAAGGAAGTTTATAGTTCATATAACTGCGAAGGAGCAGACCCTCGATTCAAGTGAGATTCAGGGTGCAAGCAGTCCAGATTCAGGGCTGGGTCCCTGTCATCTCTGGCTTCTGTGTTGGGTTCATTCAAGGTACTTTTCAAAACAGCAAGATGACTGCCAGCATCTCCAGCCTCCAGGTTTACATCTTACCCTTCTGTCACAGTTCCAGCAAAAAAACCTGGGATTGAGTCTTATGGATCCACACCAGGACAGATCATTCCAAGTAAAAGGATTGGAATACTACCGACTGGCCAGACTTGGATTGTACTCCAACCCATGGGCCATCCCTCTGGAACCCCACCCTTAGGGGAGGGGTGATAAATCTATTATCAGAAGGTGGGAGAATATTTGCTGGTGAACAGGGACAGTGGAGGCAGCGAAAGAAATAGTAATAGGATGATGTCAGTAGCTTTACAGAAAATGTTATGGGATGGATTAAAGCGTTTCCGAAATAGCTGGACAGCATCGTCCTGGGGAAAGGAGCTGGGTTTTGGAGTTGGGAAGACTTTAGGTTGAATTTTGGCTGTTCTGTTCACTAGCTAAGTCATCTCAGGAAAGTTAATGTTCTCGAATGTCAATGCTTTTAATGTATAAATTGTCAAAAATAGTGTGTCCCGGCAGGGTTGTTGTGAGAACTACAGAAAATGCATATGGAGTGTCAGACGTAAAGCCCAGCACTTAGTAGGTGTTTGATAAACGGAAGTGAGCATAGTGTCAGTAAATGGGGGCGAGCGTTTGTGACCTGAGGAGTTTCCATAAGGGGAATGGTTCTCCCTAATTATAGTGGAGAAATAAAACATGACAAATTTCATAGGCCTCCCCCAAATCTGTAAGTTTGGAATCAACTCAGTGGTTTTCTTCTTAGAAAACCATGTTTCATCCCTACCACCCACGTTTAATTCTTTTCTCCAGCATCTTCCTGAAATTATCGCAGAATAAAATAAAGTAGCATTATTGAAGTTCAGCTTAATTGAAAAAAGTCTGAAGCACAAAAATATGATGCTAGACTGTAGAACCCTTTTTCCTGTAAGTTTTTAGAGGCCAATATGGTTATGTTAAGCAGAGTGACTGCAGACACCTAAAATCAAGTCTTATGTAGACTTTTTTCTCTATTTTCTTTTCTTTCTTTCTTTTTTTTTTTTGGCCGAGCCACACGGCTTGCAGGATCTTAGTTCCCGGATCAGGGATTGAACCCGGGCCTCCTGCAGTAGAAGTGCAGAGTCCTAACCAAAGGACCACCAGGGAATTCCCTGACTTTTTTTTTCTTTTTAAAGCATCATAAGCTATTCTTTTTTTTTTAAAAAAAAAATAGACTTTATTTTTTAGAGCAATTTTAAGTTCACAGCAAAATTATGCAGAACGTGTAGAGATTTCCCATGTGCCCCCTGCCCCCCGAGCCACAGCCTCCCTGCCATCAGCACCCGCACCAGATGGTGCATCTGTTATAACTGATGACCCTGCATGGACACGTCATCCTCACCAAGCATCCGTAGCTGACGTCAGGGTTCACTCTTGGGATTGTACATTCTATGGGCTTGGACTAACTTATAATGAAATATATTCACAATTATGGTATCATGCAAAATAGGTTCATCAGTCTAAACATCCACCTGCTCATCCCCCCTCCCCTGCCTGCCTTCGTCAACCAGTGATCTTTTTTATTGTCTACATAGTTTTGCCTTCCCCAGAATGTCTGATAGTTGGACTCATACAGTATGTAGCCTTTTCAGACTGGCTTCTTTTACTTGGTAATATGCATTTGTTTCCTCCCCGCATCTTCTCGTGGCTTGATGGCTCTTTTTTTTTTTAAGTGCTGAATAATACCACCTTATCTGTATATACCAGTGTATTTATCCATTCACCTACTGAGGGACATCTTCAGTAGGTGAATCTTCGTTGCTTCCAAGTTTTGTCAACTATGAATGAAGCTGCTATAAACCTATGTGTGTAGATTTTTGTGTAGGCATAAGTTTTCAACTCATTTGGGGAAATACCAAGGAGCATGGTTCCTGGATTGAATGGTAAGATTGACTTCCAAAGTGGCTGTTCTGTTCTGTAGTCCTGCAAGCAATGAATGAGAGTTCCTGTTGCTCCACCTCCTTGCCAGCATTTAGTGTTGTCTTGATTTTGGCATTCTAATAGGTGTGTAGTAGTATCTCACTGTCTTAATTTGCAATCGCTAATGACATATGATGTTGAGCATCTTTCCATATGTTTATTTGCCATCTGTATATCGTGTCTATTCAAGTCCTTTGCCATTTTTAAATTGGCTCATTCACTTCCTTACTGTTGAGTTTTAAGAGTTCTTTGTATATTTTGGATGATCATCTTAGATAATAGCTTTTGCAAATATTTTCTCTCAGTCTGTGGCTTTTCAGTTTTTGGAAAGCTGTTCTTTTTCACCAGCTTGCTTGAGGTCATATCAAATTATTGGCATTGATATCTTAGGAAACCAAATTCCTTGAGTTTTCTTCATTAGGAATACCGTCAGATCCCATTGCCTTATTTGCTCTTTTTCCCCTTGTGTACTTCTGCCTATCAGTTTTTGCTGACACGTTTGAGTGAATTTATTCAACAAACATTTACTAAAGCGCCTCCCGTAAGTAAATGATCGCAGGAGGTGCTGGAGATAAAAGGGTGAGAAGCAGGTGTAGGCCCAAGATGGGTGTCCTGTAGGAATTGACAATGTTCAGTGAATTGATATTCAAATGAAATGATTGGCTGATAAAGAGAAATTAGCTAATTTGGAGTAGCTACTTAAAAACCCACCCTGGGACTTCCCTGGCTGTCCAGTGGTTAAGCCACTGTGCTCCCAAGGCAGGGGGCCCGGGTTCCATACCTGGTCAGGGAATTAGATCCCACATGCCGCAACTAAGACCTGGTGCAGCCAAAAGAAAAAATAACCCTCCCTGACTTTGACGTACCGCAGTGAGAGACCTTTACTTTACCCGTATATACCTCAGTTCCTACTCTGGTGAAATGGGATCACAGGATTAGAATATGGCTCAGCCTTCGTTGTAAGTTCGTCATTAGGTAGACTGAAGTGACCCCAGAAACGTTAACTGGGTAATTGAATCACTATACCATTAAAAGGAAGCGTCCTTGATTTTTCTTTCTCTCACATGGATATTTCAGAAAAAGTCACCCATGTAGACTTTGCCAGTGTGAAAAAGTGTTCTGTTTTGTTTTGTTTTGGTTGGTTGGTTTTTTGGCCATGCCTCATGCTTGCCGCTTGCGGGATCTTACTTTCCTGACCAGCGTTCGAACCCGGACCACGGCTGCTGAGCCCTAACCACTGGACTGCCAGGGAATTGCCTGAAAAAGTGTTAAGAAATGAATAAGACTACTAAATTATTACAGCGTTTTTATGTATCTAGGCAGCCAGGTAATTTCTACTTTCATCTTACTGGGTCTTTAGGGTCACTTACAGCTCTTTCGATTGGGACAAGGCTGAAGAGAAGATGTTCCTCCTTATGGTATTAAGTGGTCCTTTAAAGCAAGTAGAATGACTTGCGTAAGACCTGATACCATTAGGTACTAAAATAACTACTGATTCATAGTTCATTTTTACTACACATAGAGACACTCTCTAATTCCCTTTTTTTAACTTATTTCTTTGGATTGCCAATTTTCCAACTCTAAGAAGCCTTGTTTAATTTTCAGATATTTAAAAACACAAACAAACAAACTTACGACAGAAGTATGGTCTGAACGCAGTCTTGTTTCTCAAACAAAGGCTCTTATTTTCCTGACAGTTCTGACAATAAGACATACATATCTAATTGGTTTAATGGGAACTGTTTAGATTGATACTTA